ATAGACTACTTAAGATCTCTATCTTAAACTAAAATCTGAAACTTTAAAAATATAATATATTGAGAGTTTTAAAATTAGAGTTTAAAAAAATGAATGCAAGCAAATTTGCTTGTATTACAATTTAAGAGATAAGCTTGAATAGTAAATTTTAATATGCTGATTAATAAAAGAGCTTTATACCTACTAATTAAATTAGCATGAATAAATAATATAGTAAGTATAATGCAATAGTAAATATATAAAAAAATAATATGAAATAGTAAATTTTAATAATTCAATTAAAGATCTTTATACCTATTAAGAACAAATAAAATAAGTATAATATCTGATAAAAAACGAACTTGAATAGATTATCCAAATGTACTAATTAATAAAAAATTTTTATATCTACTGATTTTGCAATTGAAAGATATATTGCAATAGTAAATACTGTAAATAATTATTAAATTATACTTGTAAGTTTATAAACAGCAGAATAGCAAAAATTACTGGTTGTTCGGGTTGTTAGTTGAACTTCTATGTTCAGAATAAATACACTTCAAAGACTGCTATAGATAAGCGAACTGATTATTATATCAATTCTCTGATTATTTTGTATATGAATTCTTTCAACTATAAACTATTTGCTTATTAATTTTAATAGTTTTTATATTCATCTATCAGTCTTTGTATTATATTTTGTCTTAAGAGTATTATACAGATTAGTCATATATTTAGTATAAAGATAGCTAATTTCACTTTTTAGCACAAATATGGGTTGCTAGTTATGCTATAAAAAAAACATGATGCTATTTTAAATACTATAAAAACCATATATTTATATTTACTTGTTATATTCACATTTTATATCTATGATTACTGGCCAATCAAAATATCAGATTTGTATACTTGCCATTCTAGTTGTTTAATAACCATATACTTCGTAATTTCATTACTATGTTTCTGGTATATTTTTAACTTTTTAGATATATATATTCATGATGCTTATATGTTTAGCTACTTCTTTCTTATTAATAAACAATTTTTATTTGTTATATCTGATTTGTATTTATGTACTTATGAGATATTTGTCTACTTGTCAAATACAAAAGCCAGGTTTAGAATTAAAATAGTTAATAAATAAATATATAAATTTTTTTAGAGTTTTTTGATTTCGAATTTCAAATAAAAAAAGATAATAAGTATTATAATTGACTTTTTATAATTGTTTATTAATTATATCAGAGTTTTAATTTCTGTTATACTTAAAAATGCAGATCAATTAATTTAAAACAAAAGATGGCTACACCTCTAGTCATATTTATATACAGTTAATAATTTGTAAATATATGCCTTTAAATGCAACTCATTAGAACCAGATTTTAGCAATATGCATTTAGAGAACAAGTATAATTTATTGGAATTAGGCTTTTAGTAACATGTTTTTAGAAAACAAGTGCAACTTATTGGGACTGAACTTTTAGCAATATATATTTAGAGAACAAATACAACTTATTAGAACTAGGCTCTTATTAACATACACTTAAGAAACAATTAAATAAAATTATATTTATAAAGAACAAAATATATACAAAACATATACTTGAGTCTAAAGTTAAAAAGGAGTTTTACTTAAATATGTTGTATTTAGAGAATGTTAAATATATGTGCCAAATTATTTTAGATTGATCAAATAGTATTGTATACTTTTTAAAAAAATATATATTTATATAAGATGCACTTATATAGTTGATATATATTTTATTGTATAATTTTGAAGCAAAATACTACAAGTGCCAGAAATAGAATTATTTTTTAGCAATACAAAATATAAATTTAATATTAGTAACTATATTAGATATTATTATCTAAAATAAAGTGACAGACTTATATGTCTATGTATTGTGATTATATACTATCGAAATAGGTTTTTAAAAAATCTTATTTTGTCTCCATTAGAGCAATTTGAAATTTTTTATATGCAAGAGCAAATCTAATTTAGATAGTTATATTTTTTATAATTTTGTCTCTTTAAAAAATATTAAAAATTTTCATCTTTTAAGTAAAATAGATTAAAAATATTTTTATTTTTAAATTTTAATTTCATATCTTGAAACCTAAAATAATTTCGTCGATATATATAATTATGATATGAAAATTACTTTTTTGATTCATCATATATTAAAATATCAAAAAAGTAACTTGTATTTTCTATCTGTTCACTCATATGATTTAGAGTTACACGAAAATTTTAGACTTATCCTATATCTCTATATATTGTTAATTTAGAAAAAAAAATATTTTTTTGGTGCTATATTAAAAATAGTGTCATTTTTTTGAACACTATTTTTTTATTTTATATCTCTATATATTATTAATCTATAAAAAAAAGGAGTTTTTTTGGTGCTATATTAAAAATAGAGATTTTTTAGAGCTTTATTTCCTTATTATATAGTTAGTAAACTATTTTTTGAAGATATCTCATAATCTACTAGACCAATTTTGATGATTTATCTATTATTAGAATCATTTCAATGAGCTTTACAACTTTAATTAGAGACTTAAAGATAATTAATTTAGTACAAAAAGTTTAGAACCTAATATATTTAAATAAATTCTAGACAAACAATGCTTTGCATTTATCTAGTTATAAATAATTTTTTTTAATTAGTAAAATATTTAAAATATTTAAAACTATATAGTATATGAGATTTGCTATGCTTATTAGTATTATATAATACTAGTAATAATTATTACAAGTAATATAAAGTAATTTTTTTAATAGTATCTGTATAATATTTATCTAATATCATTTAAAAAAATATATATATAAATCTATATAACAGTTATACAATATGTTATGATATAAATTTTTGTATATATAAAACTATATAAAATTATATATAAACTTTATTGCAATGATGTTTTTTTATTTATATATTAACTTTAAATTAAATTTTACAAATAAATATATCAAGAAAAAAAATATATATATTTTAGATCAAATAAAAATTTTGTAATTTTGATACAATTTGAAAATATAACTTTGTTAAAAAAAATTTAACAGTTTTAAAGTAATAATTATATATAAAATTATATTTTGAATAATTTCAGTCTAGATATACAAAAAGGTTATCTTAATAAAAAAAGTTTTCTATATACTAATATCAAAATTTCTAGTTTTTCTATATAAAACTTTTTTTTACTTAGATAACTTTTTCTGACTTAAGCAAATTTATTTAGCACATAATTCTATATATTTTGTTTTTTGCTAATTTTATTTTTTATACTTTTTACTAAATGAAAAATTGAATCAAAAGTTATACAAAAATTTTTTTTTAAAAAAAAATTTTAAAAAAATTTTGAAGCTTGCTATTTATTACTACTAATAATTATCATCAATATATAATTAGCCAATCAATTTACAAAATTAGATATAATGTACAGATCAGTTTTGTATAATAAAAACAAATAATTTTTAAAAAATCAATTATATCTTAAAATTTTGTTTATGAAACTACCTTTTGGGCTCTAACAAAAAAAAATTTCTTGCAAAATTTTACTATAGATTTTGTTTAACTTTATTATCAAACTATTATTCTTATTCTAATATTAAAACAAGAATTTTATTTTATAGTACTATAGTGTTATGATGTTATGGTATTGTAACCAATTAAAATTTAAGATTAGATGTAATATACAAATCATCTTTTGAACCTTGAATCTTCAAACTCTTTTCTATACAAATTTATAAGGGAAAAAGTACAAACAAAAAAATATAATAACTACTCAATACAAGTTTATAAACAACCTAAAACAAGACTCAACAAGAGCACTAGCCCTTGTATCAAGAAAAAAAAGATATATTCTTTTTGGAATACAAGAAACTTGCAACAAAAACTAAAAATACAAATCTTTCTCTTCAACAAACAAAGAGAAATAAACAGTATGTCAAGACAACAAGGAGAAGAAACCACTGCAAATATAGCCACTTCAATACAAGCAATCAAAACAACTGCAAAAAAAATACTAGCTAGGAGGAATTTTTATCTCTAGAAGAAGAAAGCCAAAGCTCAACCTATACAAACACGTCAACACGTAAAAACAAAAAACAACAACAAAACAACAAAACAAGTCACATTATAGAACATGTGCAAGATCACGTGACTATAGATCAAGAACAACTAATAGAACAAAATATACTGAAAGCCACAGAATTCTCAGAAAATAACCTATATATTGAAAGCTCAACTTCAAAAGAAAAAGCTAAAGCAGATATTAGTCAACCAAGAGATACAATCAACAAAAAGTGGTCAAGCCTATTTGTAAAATTAAAAAGGGGCCAATTGACTTATACAGTCTTCTCTCCTAAAGAACAAATAAGAACCAAGAATAAAAATATATTAATTATTGAAATACATGATATTCAAAGCTCTTTTAATAAAATAATGATCTCACTTTATAAAAACGTCAAACAAGATATTATAGCAGCAAAGCAACACTTCAAAAAGAGTAAAGAACGTGACAAAAATCAGGTAATTTTTTAGAGAGAAAGGTGATAAAAAAAGTTAAAATTATATATAAAAACCAGATTTTTTTTTATATTAAAAGAGAGAGGGGGGTAAGCCTCTGATAAAAAATAATCAAATGATAAATAACATTGCTCTAACCACACACACTTGGAAATTATCTTCTTCAACAAGAATACTTTTAGTCATCATGCGGCCAAGGGTATCAACATCTTTAACAAATCATACTTTAGTTATATTCCAATAGACTCACACAAGTCTTTTCTTCCAGCAAAGTTTAGAAATGTTCTATTAGGAGAAAAAGAAGAAATAACAATGCTAATCAAAGATGCATTTCAAGAATTTGGCAAAATAGCCTCAATCAAACTATTGGTAATTGAGAGAATACCATATTTAACTGATCAATAAATTATTATTTTGATACAACAGAAGACGAAAATTTAGAAAAGCGAATCTCTCGCTTCACTCATCTCAGAGACAACAAAATCACAACTGAATGGAAGGCAGCTCCTAAAGTTAGCTACTTCTGTGATCAAAAAGAGCATATAAAAAAAAAATACTCCCAATTCAAAGAGTCAGTTGCATTAAAACAGCACTATTGAGAGTTCAAAGAAACCTTTAAGACAAAAAACAGAGACTACTCTAGCAAAACAGCTCAAGAAGTAGAAAGTTTTTCAAACTGAAGAGAAGGAGAAATCAAAAGAAGAAGCAATGAGTATAGAAACACCTGATGAGCAAGAAATAAAGGATATCTCTCATAGTACAGACAATAAAATAGAAGATACTCAGAAAGAAACTAAACAAGCAACTACTTTCTCAGAAACAGAACTTATGACAAGAGATAAGCTTGCATTAGATAGCCCATCTTTTAAAGATAATAACAAAGAAAATAACCCTCCTTAAGAGAATATATCATCAGCAATTCAATAGAAGAAGACTTTACAACTATATTTTATAAGAGAAAAAAAAAACAAACAAATCAAAATATATGTAAGCAAGCAACAGTAAGACAAGCTCCATACAAGAAAGGACAAACAGAGGAGAATTCTCCAAAAACTCAATAAGAGCACACTTACCTTTATAATATCTAATGACTAAAGCAATAATTAAAATTGCTACCCTAAATATAAAGGGATTTAATGATTAAAACAAAAGACAAAAAACAATGACACTTTTAAAATCTTATAACTTAGACCTAATACAATTACAAGAAACAAATCTAAACAACCAGACAACACAAACTTTCAGTAAGAAGCAATGGATTTATGAATCAATTTGGACAAACAAGATAGCTATATTGGCAGGAAAAAAAGAAATAAAATTTCAGGATACTGAAATTCTTCATGAAGAAAGAGTAATCCTTACAAGCTTCATATACAGAGATTAATCCTTCTCAGTTACAAACCTATATGCTTCTCTAAACATAAAAGACAGAACAGCTTTCTTTGACAAATGGTCTCTACAATACAAAGAAAATACTATTAATATTCTGGGAGGAGATTTTAATACAAATCTAAACCTGACTATAGACAGAATAAGCCAAACTGCATCACAAAATAACAATACCAGAACTTAACTTAAAACCTGACAAAGAACTATATAAACTCTGCTATATATGCAAAGCAAAAACCTTTTCTCACTTTTACCAAAAGGTCCAAAACAATCAAACAATAGCAACTAGACTTGACTATATCTTTATAGACGAGAATTATAAACATCTTATATCATTTACAAAGCTGCTTTTTGGAAAACTCAGACCATTTACTAATTGAATACACTCTGGCCGAAAGACATAAGATCAATCAATCTTCTAATTGGAGGTTTGATAAGAACTCTTTTAAAAATAAACTTTTGAAAAAAGAAATAATAGAGAAAATCATATCTTTTGAAGAACTATTAGAGTAGGACCTACAGAAGCTAAGAATTCAGTCAATTATAAAAGCTTTCAAAAAGCCAAAAGCTTCAGAAAACAAGATCTTAAAGATTAACAAAAAACTTACAAAACTTCAGAGACAAATCACAGAAGATCTAACTAAATTCTTCTTATACTCTACATATAAGAATCTTAACTTCTCCATACAGGAAGAACTGATTCTACTAATGAACAGGTAGCAAATTCGCTCAAAAGCAAGGTGAATTGAACAAGAAAAGAAGTCCACAAAATACTTCTTCTTTTACTACAAGTCCCGATATGCAAACTCGGCCTTCTCAATGGTCAAAGAGCTTAACAACATTAACAAGAACAGAAAAATAGATACTCTGAAGTTTATTAAAGAACAATATAAAAAGATTTACAAAAAAAAAAACAGATCAGAAGGCAATTGACAAATTAACTAGCAATCTCATACAAGTCTCAGAAGAACTAAATATAGGTTAACCAAACCTATTACCCAAGAAGAAATCAGTCAAACAATAAAGCAGCTTCCAAACAACAAATTATCAGGAATAGATGGTCTCATATACAAGTTCTATAAGCTTATAGAAAAACAAATAGTTCTAGTTCTTAAAAAAATCTTTAATCAAGTTTTAATAACAGGAATGCTTTCAGCATCTTAGTGCAAAAACATGATAACTCTAATATCCAAGAAGTCAGCAAATCTAAACAATCTGGATAACTGAAGATTAATTTCATTAGTCAACTGTGATGCCAAAATTTTCATAAAAATTTTGGCTACCAGACTAAATAAAGTTTGCAAATCTATAATTCTAGACTATCAACAGGGCTTTGTTACAAAGAGATCAATAGCAGATGCAGCTCTAGATATCCTTATAATCATAAAAAATCAAACAGATATTACTAAACAACACTAGATACTTTTTGTAGATCAGAAAAAAGTCTTTGACAGAGTTGATCACATATATCTGCAAACAGTTCTAGAAAGGATGAACTTTGATACAAGATTCAGAAAAGTAATCAAAAATTTGTTTTCAAATCAAGAAGCACATATTATAGATTTAGGAGATATCTCAAGTTTTTTAGAATAGAAAAAAGAGTTCGTCAAGGAAAATCTTTTTTCTCTTTTTTTTATATTATAGCTTTTGAACCATTACTGAAAGTAATAGAAAATGAAATCTGAAGAATACTAGTTCAAAAACACTATTTCAAAACAGTAGTATACACAGATAATTTAACAATAGAGATAGGATCTCCTTTAGACTAGAACCGAGTATTAGAATTATTTCATATATATGAAAATGCCTCCAATACCAAAATTAACGAAAGCAAAACAAAACTAGTACCTCTTATAGTTATGGTCAGGAGAGTTGAGCTTACAAAAGAAAACTAATTTACAAAAGTAGCAGAGCAAGAAGCAATCACAATATTAGATTATGAAATCTATTCAAATAGAGTATCTAAAAAAGACTTATAGACTATGATTACTACAAAGATCAAGAATCTCACAGACAAGTTCTCCTAAAGAAATCTCTCCTTTAGAAGAAAAATTCTAGTAACAAATTCATTTATACTTGCATGTATATAGTATGTGGCATATCTACTACCTCCAAGTAGAAAGCAAGTAGCAGAAATTAATAGACTAATTACTATATAGATCAAAATAACTCCAGAATGCTTCTTAGATACTCAACTTTTAGCTATCCTATGAATATAAAGGTCTTCAAGCTTCAATAGTTAGCAATATGCTTGATGCAAGAATGCTAACTATATAGACAAAACTAACAACTGGTAACTACCTATAGGCAAAAATTGAATAAAACAAAATCTCTTTTTTTCTAAAACAAAAAAGGGATATTATAGTATTACAATCTCTAACATCAATTCTAATTAGATCTAAAGCCTGGCCAACAGAATAGAAACTATACCTGGCAGTATGAAAAAAAAATTCAAGAGAAAATTATAGCAAATTATAGTTGGTTCTGAAAAATAGAAGACCTTAAAGTTGACGAGAAACAAAATATAGACTTTACAATAAAAAACCTAATGGGAATCTTAAAAAAATAAACAGTTGCCCAACAAATACTATACTTTCAACAGATATCAAGATAGACTGGCTTTTCATAAAAGCAGCCAACAACAAGAAAAAAGATATATTATAGTGCATGTACCATAGGGCCTTTCCTTTAGAATATCGGTTATAACACATATCCGCAACAAAGTCAGGAGAATGCCTATGTGTCCAGATAAACTCCAAACAATAGAACACTTTACACTTGAGTGTAATATAAGTAAAAGAATATAGAATGAAGCTTACAAGCTTCTAAATATTAAAAAAATACCAATCTCATCTTCAATTGAAGAAATCTTCATAGCAAACAACTTCAAAGATTCAAAATATTGTAAAGCAGCTCTTTGGCTTTATACAAATATAATCTATAAAATTTGGTACTAGTTTACATCACATAAGTAGAAAAACTCAATGATATCAGAAATAGTAATCCTATATATATTAGAAACCATATCTTCAAGAAAATAAAAGTAATAGCTTTAAATCTAAATAGCAATCTACAGATAAAATCTATTTGTAAATATCTACAATGTGTATAAATATAAAATAATTTATAAATAAAAAAGTGCTACATGCGCCCGAAGATAGTTACATCATCGATATAAAAAAAAAATCACCTTTTGTGTAATAAAAACAATAAAATTTTAAAAATTTAGTTCTATTTTAAAATTTTAATTAAAAAACTAACTTTTGTATTTTATAAAAAAAATTTCTTGCAAAATTTTAATTTAAACTATACCTTGCCTAATCTTAATTCTAGCTTTAATCTAAACCTAATTAAAAGCTTTAATTTTTATAAAAATTAGATTGTTTTGATTTACATATTACACTAATCTTGTGTTTACATATAGAGTAGCACTATAGTACTATAGTTCTATACTAATATTTTTTTAAAACAAATAAATTTTTGTTTAAAAAGTTTATATATTATACCTAATTATATATTGTAAATTACTAATAATAATCACTAGTGATAATTTGTAGTAATTTTTAAAAATTTTTTATATAATTTTTGATCTAATCTTTTATTTAGTACAGTCAGGGATTTTTCCATATTTGGGTGGCATCGATCACACCATTTATGGTATAAAATTGCTGATCAGATGATTCTAGAATCTCTGTTATACAAAATGCTTGGCTTGGGTAACTTGTA